GATTCGTATGATATATCTGAGAAGTAAACAGTGCCATAGGAAAGGAAAGGAAATATAAGATCCAACCCCATTCTTCACAGTGCAAGAAAGAGACCTCAGAGGTGAAAGGACTTGCTCAGGATTGCACAGCTGGTAGAGGCCAGGCTGGAATTAAAATCCAATATGCCTTGTATTAAATCAACATTCTGCACTTTTATTCAGGCTTTCAGTCATGCTTGCTGGCGTTTATTGACAGGCACCAGTGGGACAGGCAGATACAAGTCAAATGTTCAATAAATACAACAATGCATGTGCAATACAGCAAACATATGTACAGTTGCTGCTAAGATGTGAGCCCTAAAGGAAGGACACGGGATCTCACCTGAATAAAGAGCAAAGGAAACCTCCCCAGGGATAGCATCTGATTGCTGAGACGAGCTGAGAGATGAATAGAGGGGCACGGGACGGGAAGCCATATCTCTCCTATAAGCAGCCACTGCGATGCAGGAGGCCCGGATCACCAGCCCCCAGGAGAGGCCAGGGACCAGCAGCCAAGCACTGACCCACCAAAGAGCTCGATCCGGGGAGAGCGAGGACCCTTCCAGGTACTCAGCACCTCCTCATGCTGAGCTCTGCATGGCTGATCTCTTTTCATCTCTTCAACTCATCCTGCAAAGCAAGTGCTATCATCCCCATCTCGCAGATGAGGAAACTGAGGCTTAGCCAGATTAAATGAACTGCTCAACATCTTAGAACTGAAAATGATCAGGGCCAGAATTTGAACCCGAGTGTGTCTGATTCCCAAACCCATACTCTTTACACAACCCCAGACCACTCGATGCAAACAAAAAGCAGAGAAAATGGGAATCTGAGGGTAAACCAACAGCATCCAAGCTGCTGTATCTAGCAGGTGCCTTCCTGCTGAGAAACATAACCCCACTTGGGCTGTTTGCCCTGACTGAAAAAACAGTTCTTTCATCATTCTCCATTTAAAGTTCTGCCCGTGAACTAGAAATTTAAGTCCACCATGTTACAACAAGGTGATCACATGCTGAGGGCCAGGGTACTGGGAACCAATGACAGGGTATTGGGAACCACAAGAATGACAGGGGCCTAGAAGGAAGGGGAGGAAAACAACACTGGGGAGAGAAGTCCTTCCTGCTTTCAAAGAAGTGATCCTCCCAACTGGAACACACACACACACACCACCCCCCTCCATGTACGCACACCACACAAACTCACACACTTATACCCATGCACACACCGTGCATACACACATTCAGGACCACATGCCTCCCCTGAGCCCTGCAGGAAGGAAGCCCAAGGTCAGTCCAAATTTGTATTTGTAATAACCAGAGTGCAAAGGCACAGCAGCCCTGCAACCCCAACAAGTACGGGGAAGGGAGGTGCAAGGCTCAGGAGGGAAAGGACCCAGCCCCAATCGCTCCTCTTTGGCATAAGATGTCATTTGGGATAAAGCACACAGAAAATTCCAGAACACCATCCTGGAAGAACCCAGCATTTTTTGTCTGCCTCTCTAGTGGACAGGTGATGTTTCTGCCTGCAGAGTTTCCAGTCGCCTTTCAGATTTGGCCCACGCTGACAGAACTTAGCTTGCGGGAGGGTGTGGTCATGTGACCTAGGTTGACCAATGCAATCACTACATTCCCTGGCCAGTGACTGGGCATGTGACCCAGACCAAGACACTGAGAGCCTTCCCTGGGAATTTCTGTGGAAGTTAATTAGCAAATAAGCTTGTAGCATTCTCTTTCCTGGGTTCACTGAGTTCATAGGATGAAATTCTAGAGCTGCTAGTAGCTGTCTCACTACCAAGGCGGGGAAAGCCTGTCTGAGAACAAAAGCAAAAGAGAGAAATGCTTATAGGACAAGGAGAAGACAGGAGGCAGGGGAGATCGTGTTGGAATAAAATTGTTCAAATCCCTGGGTCCAGCTATCCTGAAGCTAGTAAACTTGATTAAGGTGACAGAATTCATCAATGACCTGTTTCCTGTTTAAGTCCATTTGAGTTTCTGTCATTTGTAAACACCACCACCAACTTAAGTCTTAGGCCTTTTCATCTGGTACAGCTACCTGACTCATGCTGAGCCTTTCGCTTTCTTCTGTTTACATATAATGCTTCCTATTATCCTGAAGACTTAGAAAAGAGACCTCAGATCTTTGCAAAACCCTCACTAAGCCCAGCAGGGCTCTGGCCACCTAAAAGAGACCCTGTGATTGTTGCTGACTGGTGAAGATGAGAGCTCATGTTCCCCTTTGACAGAGTAATAAAGAAAAGGCAAACCACATGGGTCTAACGTTATTCTAAAACAAAACTGAATCAGGCTCAGAGCCACAGTCCATGGTGGCCAGTTTTAGGATTAGAGGTGTCCTTATGTTCTATTCTCTACCCCTAATGACTTCAACTGAGTCTAGGGCTATACCCTAACAGCCAAATCAGCCCTACAATAACAAAGAGAGGCAGAAATAGCAAATTAAGTCATGTCCTGGCTTCAGTGAATGTCATGAAAACAGATGACACTGGAAGGGAAAACATGCAGCAGTCGTCAAATGGCCAGCAGACCCACTCTCCATCAGAACTAAGGATGCTGCGGCTCATGGCTTATCGCTGCTTTCTCTCACTTGCCGCCTAACAGGAACAGTGGTCCTTTGGGCCCATGTTGTTGCAGCATTTTCTTTTTGGATTCACAGACCAATGGCGCATCTGGGCTATTGAGCCTCAGCCTCAGCATACATGGTGCTTCCTTTTCATCCTAAAATCAAATTCATAGGCTAGGCATGATGGCTCACACCTGTAATCCTAGCATTTTGAGAGGCTGAGTCAGGAGGATTGCTTGAGCCCAGGGGTTCAAGATCAGCTAGGCAACGTGCTGAAACCCCATCTCTGCCAAAAAGGTACAAAAATTTGCCAGGCATGGTGGCGTGCACCTGTAGTCCCAGCTACCTGGGAGGCTGAAGTAGGAGGACTGCTTGAGCACAAGACGTGGAAGCTGCAGTGAGCCGTGATGGAGCCACTGCACTCCAGCCCGGATGACAGAGGCAGACCCTGTCTCCAAAAAATAAAATAAAAATGATGTATAGCCTACTTACATAACAGATGTTTTTAAAACAGGAATTTAATGCCCAGATTATAAATGTATATACAGGAGCAATAAAATACAGAGGAGCAATTGGAAGAAGGTAATTTTTTACATACATGTGTTTCAGTTTGTAAATGCTCAGGCACAACCACATGGGGAACCACAATACCTTCATCAGTTATGCCCACTTAGAACACACATTTGGACTTAAGAAAAGTAAGATGATCTGAAGTCATTTCAGATAAGACATATAGGAAAAAACAAAAAACACGGGTGAGCACTAAATAAAAAATAAGCATTACATTAAGTACTAACTGATAGGACTTTTGTGTATAACTGACATTCTGCACGAAGGTCAGTGTGTTATGTGCAAGTCGTGTGAGATGCAGAACAGCATTGCTGGATGCCTGGCCTTCCTAGACTCTGTGCACTTAGTGTCAATGGTGTCACTTCTAATCATTGCAACAACCAAGAGCTGTCCCCCCAGTTTGTATCATGTGCCTGACAGGCAGAAGGCTCCCCTTTGAGAACCACACAGGTAGGCCATGGGGGTGGGAGCAGGGGCCTCCCAGACTTCAGTGTGATGGATGAAGATGAAGTGAGGTCTTCCTTGGGGAATGCTCCCTCTTCCCCCTGCCACCAGCAGGTTCTGTCCTTGGGACCAGCTGCTGCCCATGCAGCTGACCCAAGGTCATACCCTGACCCAAGGGGATGCCTCGTCCTGCCCTTGGCCTCCCTGACATACTGAGCTATGGAGTGAGCAGGAGCTGAAATCTGAGCCTGGAAGGTTTGCTGAGCCCAGGCTTCTCCAGGTTCATCTCCCTTTGCTTCTCTGTCCAGTTTCCCCTGGGCTTCTGTGTGGTCCCAAGGGAGCTAGAACCCCCTAACCCCTGCTGTTCCTGCACGAAGCTAGCCACCACGCCATTAGCCAGGACCCGCCAGTGTGTGGGGTTCCTGTGGTTCAGCCAAACTTGGGAAACAGCCACATGCAAACAGGACGCAGGAAAATCAGGGTTCAGCAGTAGTGGGTGAGGATGAGAGTGCTTATTTCCGTATTATTTATCGGTGATGCCCTGGGGGATGGCCTCAGTCTCCCCAACCTCCCTCAACTACTAGGCCTGTTAAGTCCACATCCAGATAAGGGGATGTGGGGATCAAGAGAGGGCACCAACGGCCCTCTGAGGGGCTGCTTCCTGAGGCCACTCCCTGCTATAGCAATCCCCTTCTCGGTGTGAGGCAGGCATCATGAGATGACAGAGGTTCTCTGGTTACCCACAACCAGATGCACAGCTACCTGCCTAGCCCAGGACCACCTCTCCAAAGCTGATTCGGCATTAGGACTGCAGGGCATCCCCTCCAACCCCACCCCCGACCCAGCCTTACACCACCAGGTGGGAGCTGCTGCCTGTGATGGGTGCACAGAGCATCAAGTTCACATCTTACTCAGTGGGCAGGCTCTAAGGTCAGCCTGTGATGTAAAAAACTGTATCTATTCGAAAACACTCTCCAAATTCCTTGTATAGACACCACACTAGAGATTGGCATGCAGACTCTTGGTCCATCCAACACAGCTGGTTTGTTCTCCAGCTGTGAAACGGATCTCTATTTCTTCAATTGGGATGTACATGAGGGGCACACACTCTCAGAGCTGCCATCTTGTGAGGAAGCTCTTGCTGCATGCAGAGGTCACGTAAATGTGCTCCACCTGACAGCTTCCCTACTGGGGTCCCAACCACCAGCCACCATCAACCACCAAATATCTGAGTGAACCAGCTTTCAGATGATTTCAGACCCCACCCTTGAGCAGCCCCAGGCTTTGAATCTTCCAGGTGAGGCCCCAGATGTGACAGAGCAGAGATAAATCATCCCATCCTCACTGTGGCTGTGTCTGAATTCCTGATCCACAGAATGGTCAGTAACATATTGCACTTTAAGACTAAGTGCACTATGTATTGTGCATTAGGACGAGATAATTTGTGTGTATCCTTAAACATTTCAGTAACACTCAGATCGTCAAGGGGCTCCCACTAGAAGAAGCACATCAGAACCAAGACCGACAAGGGGAAAAGCAAAAGACCGACAAGGGGAAAAGCACGCCTCATCAGGGCATTAACTTGGAGACCAGAGGCAAAGACCTTGCCATTTAAATTATTTCTCTCATTTGTTCTACAGGAATGTGTGTAGCTGAATTCTTGTAGGTTAAGCATATGAGTGATGGATTCCACCACAGGAGCTGCATAAGGAGTTGGAGCTTGATAGATGATAAGCTGGTTTTTCTGGAAGGATGTGCCAGGGTTTGTATGTGATTGTCCAATGCAGCCAACAGTGAACACACTCAGAGAGCATCGGTCATCCTCCTTGGCAAACATGAATGGCAGGCTCTGGGGACAGCTGTGCTACATCACACGATGGTACAACCACAGCAATACCGCTCAGGATAGTCCACCGCATACACCTGGTGGTCAGTGCCATAGATGTAGTAAACATAAGTCTTTCCTTGGTACCAGTAGTGAACTTCTGTGAGGGGGATCAACTCAATAGTCTGGCGCTAAGGAAACAAATAGCCAAGGAAAATGTCAGTGTTCTGTTCAAGTCACTCACCTGCTCAAGAACTTTCAGTAGCTCCCTACTGTCTGTGGTATGAAGATCCTGCTCTGGAGTTGGCATTTGATATGGTTTGGCTCTGTGTCCCCACCCAAATCCCACCTTGAGTTATAATAATCTTCATGTGTCATGGGGAGACCCAGTGGGAGGTAACTGAATCATGGGGGTGGGTTTTTCCCATACCATTCTCATGATAGTGAATAAGTCTCATGAGATCTGATGGTTTGATAAAAGGCAGTTCTCCTGCACGTGCTCTCTTCTTGCCTTGCCTGCTGCCATGTAATATGTGCCTTTGCCCTTCCTCCACCTCCCACCATGATTGTGAGGGCTCCCCAGTCATGTGGAACTGTGAGTCCACTAAACCTCTTTCCTGTACAGATTACCCAGTCTCAGGTATGTCTTTATTAGCAGCATGAGAACAGACTAACACAGCATTCTACAATCTGCTACAATATGCCTACAATCTACCTTTCTAGATGTATCTCCTACTGTGCTCCTTCACACGCCCTAAGCTCTGGCCAAAACTAACTTCTCATCTTTAGCTACCATTTGATTCTAGGTTTCACCAAGTGGGGACAGGCATCCCCAGGGGAGTTTCAGGGTGTATGGAAAGTCACCAGCCAAGTAGGACAACTTCCAGAAACATTAATTTTTAGATGGAGTGCTGGGGGACAGTGGAGGAAAAAGTCAGTTTAAACATGTATATATTAAAACAACCACAGAGGCATTAGGAAGTGGTTTATAACATTTGAATAAAATTTTAAGATGAAACATTGACCCGGAAGACATTTGAAAGTTTAGTGGGCTGTGCCAGGCTATTTTCAGGATGGAGACCTCATTCCCTCCCACAGGGTGGTGCTAAGTCGCTCATTCTCTGGCCCCTTCTCTGAGCAGTTACTCAATAACTTTTTGCAATGATGAGGCCCTAAATGGAAACAGCAGCCTAATGTTGGGAGCAAATATTAGGCTCCCCTCTGCACTGGCTTCTGGTGCTGTTTTGTTATTGGCAACTACACTACATAGTTGAGGTAGGAATGTTGCTTCTAATCATTTAAGCCAAGCTTTCTTGTAGACTTACTGTGGGCCAAGCTCTGTGCAAAAAGCCCTAAATTCTCTTCTGCCCAAGCTGCTCTCCTGTCCCAGACTCAGATTTGGGGATCCAAACCCAGGGAGAGGTGGCATGATTGGCCTGGGGTCAGGCCCTCTTTACTTGCAGGGAATTCTTCCTGTTGGGAAAAGAGCTCCAAGTCCTCTTGCTGTAGTTGATGGCTTGAAGACCCTAGGGAAGAGGCAAACCAGGCCTGGTAGGGGCCTGAGGCTGAAGCCACCTGGCTGCTTCGACTTCTCTCTCCATTTTAGAAAAACTGCCCTGGCCATCCCTGGAGATCTGGGCAGTGGGGGTGTATTTTGAGAGGGAGGCCCCTGTTTTGTCATAAGAGAGGCTGAGGGCAGCACAACATTGCAGAAGGAAGAGGGGAATCAGAATCAGGGCACGAAATTTCCACACAGCTTTCCGTGTGATCTTGTGCTCCGGTTCTCTAGGCCCCAGTTTCCTCATCTGTGAAATGGGAATGAAAACTCTTATTTCACAGAGTTATTGAGACAACCGAATAAGACCCCGGTGATTGAGTTTTCTTCATATGCCAGAAACTGGAATCCAAATGACAATTTTGGAAATAAAAGGTGGAAGATGCCTCTTGAAATTTCAGTGCAAAGGACCCCAAATAGGGACTAAAGGGCACAAGGAGATGGGAGTCAATGTCAGTGCTCAGAAGGCCTGGACACTGAAGTCAGGACTGCTCTTGTTCCCAGAATTTTCTATTAAGATCCAATGGTGAGCATGGCAATACCACCAACCCCCGCCCCGACCTCTGCAACCCCCCTGCCTCCATCTGCTTCTGGCTCAAAAAGTCTCCAGGTTTGAGGCCACAATTTGCTCAAGACATCAATTGCCATCAAGTGGTCATGATGTAATTGGCTGTTTATCTGTTTGTGCAGCTCAGCCCCCGCAATAAGCAGATTCCAGGTCTCAGAGTCACGGCCATGGCCAGGAGATGTAATTTAGCCACCTATGCCCTCATGGTTGGATTTCTGCTCTAACTTCGCCATCTTGAGTAAAATATTAGCATGAATCTTTGTCTACAGCTCTAGGACCAAAGGCAAAATCAGAAAAAAGATTCAGAAAAGTGACCTCCACTCCCATTATACTCCTTTTTAAAGAAAACTGTATTTGCCCCCTGGTTTGCCCTTCCTGGCTCCAGAATTTGTTTACAATGGCTTGTATTGGCAGAGGCAGGGCCTCAGGAGACCTGAGTTCTAGTCCTGGACCTGCCACCAACATACTGTGTGACTTGGGACAGGTAACTTCCCCTCCTTGGGCCTCAATTTCCCCAGCTATCAAAATATTGAAAAACTAGAAGGTTTCATCTAAAAATCTGGACTTCAAACAGTCTGGAAACACTGGGTCTTGTGCCTACAGAAAGCTGAGCATTGACCGGCCCCTTTGAATGAGGCTCTGTCACCACCTCCTTACTTCCTGGCCCTGGTAGGCATGTAAGTTTGCAGTGTCTGAATTGCTTGATTTCTCAGTCCCCTTCCAGCTCCAAGATGATCCTTATTCATTTAGATAAAATGCATCTTCTCTCTCCTACAAATCAGGGAGATGTGCAGAGAGAGAGAGAGAGAGAGAGAGAGAAGGGGAAACGCTCGTTGCAAAGGGACATTTTGAGCACCAGGTGCCAAACACATTAAGAGGGTTTTGCTGCAAAACCCTCTGATGTGCTTTAGTGTCTTTTTTCGCAGGTGAAGAGAGTGGCTTTGAAGGAGGGGAGAAGTGGCTGGCCCAGGATCATGCTGGGATTCAGGAAATGCAGGATCTCAGCCCAGTCTGCAAGGCTCCCGTCCTGGCTGCTGAGTCCCACTTCATGCAGCTCCAGCAAAAGCATGTTACCAGGCCAAACTCCCACCTTAGGGCGCCCTGGCAGGCTGCAGCAACAGCGTAAGGGGCCGCTCAGGGCTGCTCCTGGGGATGTAGCAGCCACCACCGCCACCTTGTGGCTGTCAGGATACAGCAGCCAAAACCCTAGAGGCTGGGAGAAGACAGGGCTGGGGTTTGGGAAGTGCCAGGGCCTCAGAGGCAAGCCGGGCCTGTGACCTTCCATCTCAAGCTTATCCTTCCCCTATCTGAACACCAGGGAGTCAGAATCAAAATCTCATGACACCACATTCGTGCTTGAAACCCTGCAATCGCTTCCGGGAATAAAAATGCAAACTTCTCCCGTGGCCCAGGGTCCTTCCTGCCTCTGTGTCTTGCAGGCCCTGCTCTATGCCCTGGGGCCTTAGGTCAGGCCCTAGCCCTTCCCAGGCTCCTCCCCCGGGACCTCCCTCCCTTCCACATCCTCATCCTTCCGCTCTGACATTCTCAGGAAAGAGGGCTCAGCAGCCCAGGAAGAGACGTCAGAGCCAGATGGCCCCTCACCCCCGGCTCACCTGCTGCAGGACGCGGGCACGGGAGGCCAAGGCAGCGCTGTGCTCTGCAATGCCCCTCTGGGAGGCCAGCGAGATGTCCCGCAGGGGGAAGTCCACGATGGGGTACACCTGGGGGAGAGAGCGAGATGCGGACCACCTGGCTGCTGCACCTGCAGCTTTGGAAGTCAATGGGGCTGGCCAGAGTCACAGCCAGAGAAGAGGGCCGAGAGAAGGCCCCATATGGTGGTCTCAGGAATTTCAAAAACAGGAAAACAGGGGCCTGCAGTCAGAGAGAGAACCCTATCACCTGCAGCCCACTCGATCCCCCAGCTGTGTGCCTCCTGTGTACCGCGCATCGTGCTAGGTGTGGGGCAAGGCAGTGACCACAGCAGGTGTGGTCCCCATCAGTGTGGACTCGTGGGGTCTGTACATGTGTAGCAGAAAAGGAACTCAGATTCCTTTCTCATTTAAACATTCATACAGCCCACTAAGGGTCAGGCACTCTGAGCTGCGGATACAAAATGAACCACAAGTAAGCCCAGGTGCTTGCACTCAACCTACAGAAAGTCCAGGCACTGGGGCATCTCCTCAGTCCCCAAAGCCCCCACATCCCCTTCTGCCAGGCTGGAAAGCCTTCCACATATTAAGAGCGAGCATAGTCCTCCCCTGGGGCTCCCTGTTCTGCCCCTCATTGTAGAACCGTGGCCCCTCCCTCCACCCTCCTTCTAAGTGTCCACCTGGGCCCAGTGCTGCTGTGGACGCTGAGGGTGAGACAGCAGTCAGAGCTCAGCACCAGGCAGGGTCAGCTCACAGAGCTGCCAGCAGCCATTGACGCCTAGGAATGGGCCCCAGTCTGAGCTGAGCACAGGGGGAGGCCTCTAACTCAAATGGAAGAGTGAGGTACAGGGCTTCTGGTGGGGGGATGCCTGAGGTGAGCCTTTAAAAAGCCAAATTACTGGAACAAAGAAAGGGGCTGACATCCCTCCGTATGATCTGAGGACCCCACTCTGAAGTCCCACTGAAGCCAATCTCGCTGCCAAGGCCAACGGCAAGAGTGAGTAAACCTTTTCTGCTAAGAACCAAATAGTAAATATTTCAGGCTTTCAGACCCTGTAGTCTGTCATTACCCAGCTCTGCCCCACCATCAGGAAAGCAGCCATAGACAACCTGTCAACAAATGGGTGGAACTGTGTTCTAATAAAGCTTTATTGACAAAAGCAGGCAGTGGGCTGGGTGTACCAAGCCCTGGCCCACAGGACCCTCTCCTCTGGCTGAAGGCACCTCTCACTTCTGAGCTCCTAGCTCTGCCCTGTTCACTGCCCTCTGCCATTCCTCAAGGCCTCTGCCCCACTGTCCCCTCGCTCCCACACCACAAGGTCCACTCCCCAACTGCCCTGCGTCCAGGTCTGTGCCCAAGGTCACTTCCACTGAGAGGCCTTTCCCACCTCCAGCTGGAACGACACTGCCACCCCTCCCTGCCCCTTACCCTGCCTGAGTGTTTCTCAGTGCCCCTTCACCATCTGACATTGCTATAAAAGTGTCCATCATAGTCCCCTCACCAGACTGTAAGCTCCATGAGGGCAGGGTCCTTGTTTTATTTGCCATGGTCTACCCAGGGTCTAGAATAGTGTCTGATAGAGGAGAAGGGTCTCAAGGTTTGTGGAAGGAAGCAGGGGATGAGGGAGGAAGGAAAAGAGTGGGGAAGAAGGTAGGAGGGAGGGAAAGAGAGAAAGAGGGTAGGAGGAATGAAGAATGGCAGATGGTGGGGGAAGGGGAGGTGGGAAGGACAGAGGGTTGAGTATGTAAAAGTCAAAAGAAAACTGACAGCCCCCGGGCTCCCCATAGCCTCATCCATGTCTGGGGAGCTCTGCTCTTACCCAACCTGTCCTTCCAGGGAATGCAGCCTGCACACACAGCCAGCAGCTCCAGGCCCACGAGAGCGGAGGAGGAACCCAGCTTCCTTTGTTCCCATCCACAATGCCCTCTTACCACTGAGTTTTCATCCTTAAAGAGGTTTTCTCCTTTGGCTTTAGCAAGGAGCTCCCTGGGGCAGTTGAGCCGATGTTCAGACACAAACTCAAACAGGCTGTTCTTCCTGGAGGGAAGGAGGATGAGGGATGAAAGCACACAGTGTGGCAGGTTAAGAGCACGGCCTTTGCAATCAGACAGACCTGGGGTTGAGGGCTTGAATTGCTACTGGAGGGACCTTGCAAGAGTTCTGTAGCCTCTCTGAGCCTCAGTCTCCTCGTCTGTAAAATGAAGCTAGTAAGGATAGTGACAGTTCAGCTCCATTACCTCATTTCATCTTTGCCTGCAAAGCACTTAGCAAGGTGCCTGACACAGGAGAAACCTTCATGCGTGGAAGCCCTGGCTGACTTAGGGATATAGCAGGATGCTACGGCTCTCTTCCTACAGGAAGGGCTCCGTTGTCGAGTGGCTGCTGCACTAGAAAGTGATGATGGCAGAATTTGAACTCAGGTCTGTCTGTTCTAAAGCCAGTCGGCATCCCACAACCCCACACTTCCTCTTTCCAGGGAATTCTCCCCCTTCTAAGTCCTGGCAGGTTCTTGCACTGTGAAAGCCCCAACCAAGCAGTTTCTCTGCAGAAACCAGTCCAGGGTTCAGTCCCTCAGCCACCCCCGCGTGCCACAGGATTGAGACACTGCCACATACCACATGATGACCAGCTGGATGAAGTGCAACAGCTTCTTCTCCCCCTTGCAGGTGGCGCAGGTCTTGTTCCCTCTCCCTGAGCAGGTGCTGCATCTGAGAAGGGCACAGAGTCAGTACCCCCAGATCAGCTGCAGGTCCTGGTGGCTTCCAGAGGCTCCCACCCGCACCTCCTTCCTCCTGAAGGTAGACTGTGGTGGGCTTGCATTGTCTGTTCCTGCCCACCGCCTAGTCCTCCTTCTGCTGGCAGTACCCCAATATCCCTGTGGGGACCACCCTTCCCCCACCCAGCTCACATGGCTCTAGGGCCTACCCAACCCCTTCTGTGACCAGCTTGGGACCAGGGACTGGCCAATCATCTTATTCCATGTCCCTGGTCTCAGTGGTTGATACAAAGATGAGCACATGACCCAGGCGAGTGCAATGAGATCTGCCCCAGGATGTTTGTCAGGACTATTGGGGAAGGGACATCTTTTCTCCTGGGATTAGTAAGCGTGGAGCTACTGGTGGTCTCCTCTGCCACTACAAGGAACCCCCTGCCTGAAAATGAAGCCCACACAAAGGAAAGCAAAGTGAGAGGTGGAGATAGATTTCTGGTGGTGGTGTTTAAGCACCTGGATCCAGCTGAGCCTGAAGCCATCCCTGAAATATACCCCGGTCTTCACTCTTACCTAGGCCTGTAAATTTACTTTTTGCCAAAGCCAGTTTGAATTGGATTCCTTTCACTTGCAAATGAAAGAAAAATAAGCATCTTTTTCCCAAAGACCGTCTCTACCAACCACAGTGGAAGGTGCACCAAAGCTTCTCCAACCGGCTTGTCAGAAGGATGGCCTGGGCTTTGGTGAGGCAAAAGTATCATTAACCAACCCAACCTTGAGTATTTTCACTCCTCATGGTTTCCTGTTTCCCTTAAAAATTTATAAATACATTAAAAGATAGGATTTACAAAATGCAATGGCCCAGTGTTTGCAAAGCTGTGAGCAGCGGTGAAGTTTTGTTGATTGTTTAGTCAATCAACCAAATTTCCTTGACTCCTCCTCCCCAAAATGAGTTATTCAGACCCCAAAATGAGTTATAAATAGGAGCTTGCCCAGGACCTGATCCTCACAGAGTTAAAAATCTGGCCTTTCAGGTGGTTTTTGATATTCACTTCCCCACCCATTGGTGGGAGAGGTCTCCTTTCCTGGTAAACCCGTCCCTGTCTTTCCTCCCTGCAGTGCCTCTTTCTTCTCATCCTTTCCAAACATATATCGCGTGACAAGTTCCAGCCTTGTCCAGAAATGCCAGGCCTTGAGAAAAGCTCACCTACTCTTCAAATAACCACAGAGCACCTACTATGTGCAAAGCTCTGGGGACACAGCAGTGACGAGACAGACGGGTCCCTGTTTGCCTTTCAGACGGGCAGGCAATGAACAGCCAGAAAGCAAGAGCACTTCACCGTGATGCTGGGAGACGCTCCTACCTCTGCCTGCCGGACCCCGCGCAGAGCTGACACCTCCGGGACTGCTTAGCTTTGCGCTTGGCTCCACAGCAGGACGGACACCGCACCTGCAGACACACCACTGCCTCAGCCCCCACCGGCCTCCCAGGAAGCAGGGCCAAGGGCATCCCAAGACCTGATTCAAATCCCGGCCTGGTGACCTTCCTCCCCCTGGGCCTCAGCCCCTTCATCTGCAAAATGGTACAGGGTGGACATGAGGTATCTTTGGATCCTTCCAGTTGCAGCTTTCAAAGACTCCACTCCCTAAGATCCCTGTTTCTTCTGAGACATCAGCCTCTCCTGCCTCTTCTCTGATCCCCACAAGCCCCGAGACTGGACCCCGACCAAGTGTTGGGAGGAAGCTGGGACAGAGGCACTGGTCAGGGGCCTGGCACTAGAGACAGGAGGCTCCTTTTGAGAAATGGCCCCAGAAAAGGCCTAGGCTGTGCTCCCACAGTTGGCTCATGTGGGCTCCAGATACATTCCAGGGAAAGCCTGAGGGAGGTGGGAGGGGAGGAAGGGACAGAGAAGACAACAGGGAGGGAGCCTGGGAAAGCCACTTGAGGTAGGTGGCAGAAGTGAGGACTCGGGAGGAGAGAGAAAGGCCAGGCGAAGGCCATTACTGGGACCCACAGGCAGTGCGGGAGTGAGCAGGGGATGCAAACCCAGTAGGTGAGGGGTGAAAGGTCTGGTGGAGAAGACAGTTCAGGGTAGGCAGTGTCAGAGCATGGCCAAAGGATGAGGTTCAAATCAGGACAGCATGTAACATGAGGAGTTTGGTTAATAGGCCTGAAGGTTTCTGAAAAGACAAGTAATGCCATGACTAATGCCACTGAGGGGCCTGTGCTGGGTTAAATAGTGGCCCTTCCAAGTTCAAGTTTACTGGAATCCTAGAGTGGGACTTCATTTAGAGACAGCCTTCGCAAATGCATTTAGTTAAGATGAGGTCGTATGACCAGGTAGGGCCTAAATCCAATGATGTGTTCTTATTAGAAGCCCATGTGAAGACAAAAAGCCATGCAGGGAGAAGGCTGAGTGACAAGGGAGGTGGGGACTGAAGTGGCACAGTCACAAGCCAAGGAACACCAACGACAGCCCGCAGCTGCCAGAAGCCAGGGGAGAGGAAGGGGATGGCTTCCCTCTCAGTGCCTCCCGAAGAACCAGCCCAGCCCAGACCTTGATTTTGGACTTCTGACTTCCAGAACTTTGAGATAATAAGTGTCTGGTTTTTTTGTTTGTTTGTTTGTTTGTTTTTGAGACAGTCTTGCTCTGTCACCCAGGCTGGAGTGCAGTGGCACAATCTTTGCTCACTGCAAGTGCCGCCTCCTGGGTTCACGCCATTCTCCTGCCTCAGCCTCCCAAGTAGCTGGGACTACAAGTGTCTGCCACCACACCCAGCTAGTTTTTAATATATACTTTTTTAGTAGAGATGGGGTTTCACCGTGTTAGCCAGGAAGGTCTCGATCTCCTGACCTCGTGATCTGCCGGCCTTGGCCTCCCAAAGTGCTGGGATTACAGGCATGAGCCACCGTGCCCGGCCGTGTCTGTTGTTTTAAGCCTCCTATTGGTGGTCGTGGCTTATAGCAGCCAAAGGAAACTAACTCAAGTGTCCTGTTTACTTTGTCTCTCCAAGCCTTCCAAACTTTACCTGCTCAGCACCCACCACCCTGTTTGACAAGTGGAGTCACTTGTTGGTTTCCCTGACTAACAGGGACTCCCTGAGAAGAAGAACCCCAGGCCTTGGTCCTCTTACAGGACCTAGAGGCCAGAGCCAAGCAGGTATTCATTGTATGTTGGTAGATGGATAAGAAAAGAAGAGAAAAATTAAAATCGAACTGTCAAAGTGAAAGTGTCATTAGAGACCACCCAATCCCACTTTTTCGTTTTATAGATGGGAAAATGGAGGCCCAGAAAGGGAGGATGATTTGCCTGAGATGACACAGTTGCTGCAGGGAGCCCCAGGCCACCAGCCCAGCCCTCTGTCCCCAGGATCCCCCACCAACACACCCTCACTGACTCACCAATGGTTCACAGATGACTCACCGTGCCCGCCCCATGGCAGCCGCTGCACTTGTACCGCCCACGCCCGTGGCATTTGTGGCATTCCTGAAAGTGCAATGCTCTCTTAGGATCTAGTTTCCCAAGGGCCACTTCTCCCAGACCCATGACATCACCATCTAAACCGGAGGTGCAGCGGCTCAGGACCAGGATAGGTGGATGGCGCAGGAAAGAAATGGCCGTTCCCATTTGACTACAATTCCAGAAGACTTGACTGCATCAAGAGATCATGTCACCATTTCCTCTGAGCCCCAGCCCAGTCTGGATGCCAACAAGGGGAGACGTGTTCTGGGAGCCCCACATCCTAACTCACACTCTACAGTTTCCTACCAGGCTGAACCACAAAGGCTGATGGCATTTGCCCATAAAGTAGCTAATGTGGTCTTTGGGAACAGAAGTCATTGACAAATGGACAGGATTTTTGTGAAATGCAAAGAGCTAGCTAATAGTATTTAATCACTAATTTAAAATAGCCTTGCCACCCTTGAGAAAGGATTAGAACACTTTCTTGACCTCTCAAAATCTTCTTTGTCTTAGAACTCTATAAAAACTCACAGAGCAAAATTACACCCTTAAATCCAGTCCGAAAGTGTAAAACAGGCAGCAATTGGAAGAGAACACAATATGAGCTATCTCATTCATGTTTTTGTAATCCACTAGGCTTCTCTCCCTTCACGCCATGATTATAGGTCCATTAAGCAGGAGGGAAGTCAGATTCCGTTTCCTAACTGACTCTCATGGAAAATCCCAGCAGAGTTTTAAGTTTTTATTTTATATAAATTTCATTCAGCACTCCAGCTGTTTAAGCTAAAATAAATTTTTTTTTAAATGAAAACCACACTCAACCGATCTAGGAATATCACTGCTCACTAAAGCTGGTGACAATTTGTAAATCGGATGATCTGTTTGCTGCCTGAACATTCCCAGATTTGCTTGGAATTTTATTTGGGACTACATTCCATACACCAGGTTTTATTAAATTATGTTTATTTATAACCAAGAAATGAAGCACTGGCCTGAATTTTGGGTTTCCCTTTAAAGGATGAGTTTGAGGAAACATGCAGTGCCTGGAAAGCCTCTCAGGGAGAAGGGCAAGTACTCCAGTAATCGTCTTACCTTGACCAGTGATGAGTGAGGGACCTGGAACTTCCTGATGTCTTCCTGAAACATCGGGGGAACCTGAACCTTGATGTCCCAGAGCCTGGGGGAGGCGCCTCTTTGCGGCCCATCCACAGGGTGGTCTGATGCAGAAAGGGGTCATTGTAAGAATGACAAAGGGCGGCAGGGATAAACTTTCATTTATCCAGCAAACAACAGGGAGCCTTCACTTGGTACCAGACATGAGTCTAGATCCTGGGGCTACAGGGATGGGTAGTCAAAGTCCCCCTTGGAGGCAGTGATTAAGCAACCAAAATTTAGAGAGAGACAGATCTGGGTTTGACTCCTGGCTCTTTTATGTCCTAGCTGCTTGACTTTAGAGAAGTTTCTTACCCTCTCTGAGCTTCCATTCTCTCATCTCTAAAATGGGGATTGTCATGGCACCTACCATACAAGATGGTAGTGAAAATTAAATGGAAGAATGTATATAAAATTCTTAGCACCAGGGCTGGCACATCCTGAGGGGCTGACAAACAAGAACTGTCATCATTATCATCACCGTCCCCTTCACCATCCCATCCTCTTCCTCCTGCTCTGTTCAAGGAGACAGACAGGACCATCACAATAAGATGTGATAGGATGTGATGCATGCTTTGGACAAGAGTTTCACAAAGGGCTCTGAAAACTCAGAAGACTGGCCCATTCTGCTGGGAGGGGAGCAGCAGGAGGAGAAATCCTGAAAAGCTTCTTAAAAGAAGTGATACATGAGCTGAGTCTTGAAGAATGGACCTGAGTCTTGAAGAATGGACTGGTAGAGCAAACAGGTAGGACATAGGTCTTCCCAAATAGAGAAACTTAGGCTTCCAGTGGGGGCTCAGCAGAAGGTGGATGGCAAGGGGAATGGGGAGCACACGGGCTTAGGGGCTTAGGAGGAATTAGGGGTGGCATGAAGGGGTAGGCGAATGTTTAAACACACATGCTGCTTTACAACCTGGCCCCATGTGGAAGCACCAGACTGCAGCAAAAGCAAACATTTGGCTTTTTCAGGACCTCCTGCCTCCTGGGCAGGAAGCATTTACTAAGATCAGCACTGGAAAGTCTCTGAGATGAAAGTCCACCCTCTCATTTTGCAGGGAATAAGGAAGCCAAGGCTCCAAGCAGAAGACCATCTTATTTAAGATGAGTGCCTGAGTCAAGTCCTGATATTTTCCACCAGCACCCTGACTTATTTGCCCCCAGTTAAACTAATTTCAGACAATTCACTTACTAGTAAAGGGTTGAAATGTCCACTCGCTTATCCTGGATTCACTAAAGGTCTCTAGTCGATACTAAAAGGAAAAAAACAGCATGTTCACATTCGTGCCCCTTATGAAGGCAGAGCATTGTGCAAAAAGAGGAAGCTCTTCCCCTGCCAGGGCTCAGTGGGGAAACTGAGAGATCCAAGCACAACACCCTCGGCTGCTGGAACTGGCTGACAACAGCGATTTCTGTTCCACGTGCCCCCAGATGTCTGCCGGGAAGTCAGCCAGCCCCAGGAAATCTCCCCTGACAGGCTCAAACTGGAGCTAATTCAGTTCCCCATGAATTTATACAAAGATTCTATGAGACAAGCTTCAAAGTAGTAGCTGTCTTTGATAGAAGGAGGCCCCTGGAATCTACGGCTTTGAGATTTCCCTTGTGGAGGAATTTATCTGCCTGATATCAAAATCTTCCTTCTTGATCTTCATCCACAGAGTGACAGAATGGGAAGAGGTCTTGGACATCCCTTGCCCTCTCCTTTTACATGTGAGTAAAAGAGGGCTCAGAGAGGTCAGCTGAATTGCTCGAGGTCACACAGCCACACAATGGCCACTTCTTCCAGATTCCTGCTCTAACCACTGCCTGCAAGGCTCATCTGATTTCTGTGCAATTATGTGCTACTCAGAGGATGGCTGGATCAGCAACACTAGAAAATGTGAATGTAAAAGCTGCCCCTCTGCTCTGTCAATAGAGGAGACAGAAGTGCCTGCCAGAGGTAGGACTTCCCTGCAGCAATGAATAAATAATTTCTTGGCACAGTCATGATTTGGGGGAGGTAGAGGGAGCTGAAGTCTAGTGGTGGGTAGATGAACCTTTCTCAGCCCATCTCTTGTAGAAGTATGGAGTGAGGACATAGGCTTTGAGGCTACCAAATCTGAGTTTGAATCTCACCTCTGTCACTTCTAGTTGCATCTTCTTGGGCAAATCACTTTGCCTCTTTAAATTTCCAATTTCTCGTCTGTAAGCCAGTGACAGTGATGCTACTGTGTAGGGCAGCCATGAGGATTTGACAAGGCGTGTGTGTAGCATGCGCTCTATGATGCCTGGCATGTTCAAGCTTGTCAGTGGTGTGTGCTGTCACCTGTCCTTTTTTCTTTTTTTTTGAGTTGGAATTTCATTCTTGTTGCCCAGGCTGGAGTGCAATAGCACCATCTTGGCTCACCGCAACCTCCACCTTCCTGTTTCAAGCAATTCTCCTACCTCAGCCTCCTGAGTAGCTGGAACTACAGGCATGCACCATCACGCCCAGCTAATTTTTGTATTTTTAGTAGAGATGGGTTTTCACCATGTTAGTCAGGCTGTTCTCAAACTCCTTACCTCAAGTGACCCACCTACCTCGGCCTCCCAAAGTGCTGGGATTACAGGTGTGAGCCACCACACCTGGCCTGACACTTGTTCTTTTTATTATTACTCATAGCCACAGACAGGTCAAGTTGCAGATGGGATTCAACATCACCACCGTTCACACTCACACACACTGGCCCCAGGACTTCTTTCCCCTGGCTGCTACATCATACAAATAGCCCACCACTGTCCCAAAGCTCCCAGCCCACCAGCCCCTTGGCCAAGGCCCCCTAACAGCTCTGGCCTCTTACCCTGCAGAGGGTCTGCTGATTCAGCTCCCGGATGACGAGGTCTCCAGCCACTGTGCTGCTGTAGCAGCATTTAGAGTTCACAAAGCTGAGGAGGGCTTCCCGGGCCACCTCCTCTGTCATCACAGGGACTCTGCAGGGGACCAAACAGAGAGGCAGGGACTTCTGGGAAGGGCCTGTGGGCTCATGCAGGTCAGCCAGACTCCTCAATGTGCAGGTGAGAAACTGAGGCCACAGTAGTGGTAAAATGTAAATCCCCAAATCCCATCCCTGGAGGATCTAGTGCAGTAGGTCTGGGGTGCAGAGGGTCCCCTCCAGGGATCCTGATGCACTGCCAGGGTTGAGATCCTCAAGGAAGGCTCCTGTGTGGCAAGAGTGGCCTAAGAAATGCATGCAGTCACACAGCACAATCTGAAACTCACCTGTGTTCCAGGAATGAGGACCAGGACCTTTGCTCCTGGGGCCTCCCCAAAGCCTCCAAAGGCGGGAAAAATGTCTGTCCTCCTGGAGAAGGGAAGAGTCAGGGGCTGGACAGCCCAGGCCAAAGGAACAAACACTTGTGTGATGGAAGAAGGAAAGACTGATTGAATGTGAGAAAGAACAGATAAAGAAAAAGTGATGCATTTAATGCATCTAATGCAAAAAGAATGGGGACTCCAAGACCAGCACCATCTAGGTCTTAGAGGGACCTGTCATGGCCATGGACTGTTCATAGACAGAAAGCCTATGCCCCATTGCTTCCTATTTCCACTTACCCATGAGGAGGGGCTTCCCAGGGTCCCCGAAGGGAAAGGGGAGCTATCTCAGCACCACCTTTTTCCAGAGACATCCCGCCAACCAGCATGAGCCCTAGGAAGAAACCCAAAGAACCAAGCCCCCTTGGACTTACTGCCTGCTTGAAGAAGCCAGTCATAGCTTGGCAGTCTCTCCAGGAGCTCTGTGGGGGGTGCCAGAGGACTCTCAGCCTCAAAACTGAGGTCTACCACACCTGCAGAAAGACAAGCATGCCTGAGCCTTGGGCAGGGAGGGGAAGGCTGATCAGGGTTTCACAGGAAGCTGAAAAATGAGGATGGGTGCATTATAAAAAGCCTCACAGTTTAAGCCAGACTCACTCTGGCATCCTTGGGACACAGAATACATCTGCAGGGCAGGTGGTGGTAGCAGCATTAATAATAGTGATGAGAAACATCAAGAATGCCAGCTCCTATTTGCTGGGTACCTACTCTGTGAATATGCATTATTGCATTCATGAGTCTGTAATTCATTGTGGTGAATTACAGATGGCTATGTATTCTCTGATGCTTCCCTTCCATTGAACCTAGGAAGATATGTGACTGCCTCAACTAAGAGAATACAGTGGAAGCATTAAAAGACTGCAGCTTCTTCTGCCTCATGGAACATTTGTCTTGGAACCCTGAGCTTTAAGTCAGGCTATTATGCTGGAGGGACCATGAGGAGACCCTAAGACTACATGGAAGGAGATCCAGTTGAGTTCAGCCTTCCAGTCATCCCCGCCAAACCAGCAAAGCCATCCTGGACCCCCCAAGCCATATCAGCCACCTGCTGAATGCCACTGGATGACCCTAATCAACACCACATGGAGCAGAAGAATCTCCTGGCTGAGCCCTACCCCAATTCCTGACCCACAAAATCATGAGATATAATAATATTATTGTTGTTTTAAGGCACTGAGATGTGGGGTTATTTGTTATGCAGCTTCCTCCAGTGGACAATCTTTGCTCTGGGATTCCAGGCAGACCTGACCAAGACTTTCTTGGAGCCACATGGAGTCTGAGACTCCTCCTGCTTAGTCTCCTTCCTTCCCTCTCTCCCTTCATAGATGTCAGTCTTGCATTGCAGTCTGAAGATATTCCCTCCTCTTTTCTCTTCACAGGTATCTTCAAGAAACCCCTTGCACATCTAATGCCATCTTGGTGTCTGTTTCATGGGTGACCCAAACTGATACACTAATGCCTTCCCCCATTCTACCAATGAGGAAACTGAGGCTCAGAAAGGTTGTGACTTGCCCAAGATCATACAACCAGCAAGTGGTGGGTGGAGCTGGATTCAAACCTAGACTCGTCTGACTTCAAAGTTCATGTTCTTTCGAAGTACAGACAGTCCCCAACTTAGGATGTTTGGACTTAATTGATTTTTCTTCTTTATGATGGTGCAAAAGCCATACGCATTCATTATAAACCAAACATCAAATTTTGAATTTGGGTCTTTTCCTAGGCTAGCAATAGACAATATGATACACTCCTGTGATGCCAGGCAGTGGCAGTGAACCACAGCTCCCACTTCACCACTGCCTTGTGTATTAAATGCCTTCTTGATTCTTCTGATATTTTCAATTTATGATGGGTTTATTGGGACATAACCTCACTGTAGGTTGAGTAGTATCTGTACTTTTCATGAGGTAAAACTATGAAAAAATCATTCACTATATATCTGTTTTCAAAACCTCATCCTAGCCTGTCAGGTGTGACGTAGATATATAGATAGGTGTGGCCCTGAGATACCAAGGAGGAAAGCATAATATAGAAACTGGCCCCTGAAGTACTGGATGCTTCATGAAACACCTTCCCACACCTGTTGCCTCATCCCACACTCCTACCTGGGGGTGTGGAAGGCAGCACTTCTGACCCCACTTGACATGAGGCACATGAGGCTCAGAGAGATTACTCCAGTAATCCTAGGTCACACAGCTGTGGAGTTAGAGCAGGACAGAGGTCCCGGAGGCCTCTGGACCAAGAGGTCTAGTTCCAGCCCACTGGGCTACTCCTTAAAACTGTTGCTATAACCCCTCACACTGGAGGACAAGAATCCCTTGGCTCTGTCTAGCAGCCAAGTCAGTCACAGGAGTTGACTTCAAACGGTGCCTGTGAAATGGTCATAGAAGGGGACACTGTCTCAGTTACTGAAGCAAACTCAGGTCAGACTTCCAGCTGAACTGTCCCATCTCCTAGAGCCATTTTTTTTTTTTTTTTTTTTTTTTTTGTGGGAGGAACCTATTTAAAGCCTGTAGCTCTCTCCCTTCACAAAAGTAAAAATAATATGCCCTGTCCCTTCAAGTTGAATAAAAACAAAGACCAGACAATAGCAAGTTTTGTTTTAAATGAGACCAACCTAGGCTGATCTGGAAGTGGAGCTGTCAGCAGGTGAGGAAGGAGGAAATCTTGAAACACATGGCTGAGAATGATATAGGGAGTGAAGTGTCATTAAGACAAATGAGCACTCCCTTTTGCCACCTTCCAAATTAGGAATGCCCCTGTCCTCTGAGAATAAGAACTATTATCTTCATATCTAGGGTTTTTTCTCCTTGCAGAAAACCCACAAAGGAAAGTGGATAGAAGAAGGTTCGTGATATAGAGAGTACCTTTCTAAGCAGGAAAACCCACCTTTGTAAGCAAATGGTTCTGCCAGGAAACAGGGGAGAGATCTGAGATAGATGTGGCTGGGATGCAAAGTGACATCATCCCAAAGCCTCAAACTGATGCCTGCCAATGTGCGTTGAAATCTCCAGTGTGACAGTTCATCTGGAATTAATATTAATATCTTGATTCTCAATATTGCTTTGCTTCTAATTAGTTTAGTAGCATTTGAAGCTATATTAGCCACCAGGGACCCAAGGGTTAGCAACAGTTATCTATAAAGAGCCATGTGGTAAATATTTTAGACTTTGCAGGCTGTACAATCTCTGTCTCAGTTACTCAAGTTGGCTGTTGTAGTGTGAAGCAGCCACAGTCAATACACAGTTGAATAAGTGAATGTGGCTTCGTTCCAAGAAAACTTTGTGAAAATAGGTGGTGGGTCCTATTCGGCCCTCTGAGTCATGTTTAGCCCATCCCTGACTTAGACACTCACCTGTGTGTCTGCTTAGACATTCTCCTGGGAATGGGCTTGAGGGGATCAGAAAGGTAGAGGCTGAAACCTGAGCCTTTCTGGGGCAAAGGCCCATGCATGTTCACTGTAGTTTCTGTCAGCTCCATTATCAGAATTAAAGATCAAGTTCAGGGCTGGACTGTAGCCCTGAAATACATGGCCCAAGCAGTGGAGGAAGGAGGGGATGCCCTTAGGACGAATAAACACCCCGTCTCTACCACCTCCCAAATTGAGGATATCCTTGTCCTCTGACAATAAGAAATACTATCTGCATCTCTAAGGTTTTTTCCTGCTGGCAGAAAATCTACAAGGAAGGTAAATAGAAAAAAGTTTCATAGATGTAGAGTGCCTTTGCAATTAGGAAAACACATCTTTTTGAGCCAATGGTCCTGCCACATTTTGACCGGAGTCAGAAACCCAGAGGCAGCATGGTTAGAAACATGGGTTCTGACATGTCACCTTGGACCCAGGCTCTCCACATGATGTGACACCATGTAAGCCACACATCCCTGTAGAACTCAACTCCCTCTTTGCAAAACAGAGCAGATGATATTAATACCCAAGCAATGAGACAATGTGTGCATAGTCCTTCGTCCTGTGCCTGGCCTATAACAAAACCCAGTCACTGCCTTGAGCCAGAGGAGGGTGGGTCTTTCTCTTTCTTTGTGATCATTTAAACCAGGAGACAACGGTGAAAATATCAAGCATAGAAAGACTGTCACAGCCCTGTCCCCTGGGGATGGCCCCCCACCCACCCAGAAGTCTTGGGTCTGCTGGGGCATCAATATTCCTCTTGACAAGAAGACAGGGAAATACCATGCAGCTGCAACGTCCTGCTGGAAACCAAACAAAAGGAGCAGGAAGAGGGGAAGAATGAGAGGTGGGAAACTCAGACTCCATTCCTCAACCAGGAGCCACCCTGACCTCTCAGGGCAGCTACAGTTCGTCAGAGCTAAATTAATCTCGCCATTCTGTTATGTACAAAAATAAAGGACTCCAGACTGAACTAAGGAGGATGTGTCATTTCCTGTACAGATCTTGACGGGCTCAGCAGGGAATGTGGACGTCACGGGGCATTGTGTGACACCCAGCATGGGGCACTCAGAAGGGGCTACCAGCCACATTGCTGTTCCCATGGTGTTGCAGCTGAGTTTCAGGCAGTTGTCCAGCTGGGCCACCCCGCCCTAACACACACATTGTGTCCCGTGGCTTCCAAAGGGACAATGTAGGCATGATCTCCTTTGTGTTTCATGATAACCAGTTTTCCCTATTTCAGAGAATGAAATGAGGCTCAAAGATGTGGTTTGGGACAACTTGCTCACACATGCATGGCAGAGATAGAAATTGCACTTAGAGCTCAGATCCTGTCTCCAAGCCCAGTGACCCTGTTACTTAGCTGAACCCCTTTGGCTCCATGCAAACAGCATCAACTGAATGCTGAGAAGACTTTGCAAAGAGAGTCGCCAAGGTAGTGTTTCAGCTCACCAGTCACAAGATATTTTTCTTTTGTATAGAAAGGAATTTTCCTTGTGGAGAAAGGCATTATTAATGGGTAACCCCTTTAACTTTCTCTTTTTAAAAATGTCATTCCTTTGACTTCAGATGAGAAAGGAAAACAATGTCCTTTGCCCCTAATTCCACATTAATCATCTTAAAAGCACTGAAGTGTGCCCAAAGGGCTTCCCATCACCATCTTACTTGAGTTTGTTTCATACATTGTCTCCTTTGACAGGTGCGAGGGCCCCTTTTGGACAGGGGTCCCTCTCTCGTATAAGAAAAGAATGGCATTCAACATTCAAAGAGTGGGAATACAACAGGCACACGTAAGTGTTAGGGGAACAACAAACCTACCACAATGGGCATATTGTCGATATGCACGAATGCCTCATTATTTGAATTATACTTGAGAGGATGCCAAAAGGATTCAGGTGGTCAAACTCAGACACACAAAGTAGAGTGATGGTTGACAGGGGAGAAGGGAATAAGGAATGATTTAATAGAGACAGAATTGCAGATTTACAAAGTGAAAGGCGTTCCAGAGAAGGATGATGGTCATGGTTGCACAACAATGTGAATGAACAGTACTACTGAAATGTGCACTTA